ATCCCGGAGCAATGTCCTCAGCAATGCTGAGCGAATTTATCAACAATCCTGCATACCATGACTACCTCGCTATTCTGAAGGGCGCTCGCAATGGATTTGTCTATGGATGCAAAGTCCGCTTTCCTCATGCGCTTGTCATGGCTATACTATTTGGTCGTGGCGAGTAAGGCTTTCTGTATTGCAGTGCCCCGAATTGTAGCTCATAATTTCTTTCAAGCTGGCTCGCTCGAGCAAAGACCATTTTTCGCGCAACGCGAATGCATGCTACAAATTTGGCCAAATTCGTTACTATCTACAAGACTATGATGTTGCTCCAGCGGAAAGCAAACTCAGGAAAGGAGAGAACAGCAGATGCCTTCATTTCTGGTCTAATTGGAGGCTACTTGGTCTTTGGAGAGCGAAACGCTATCAATGAACAGGTTCGCCCGCTGGCTCTAAACAAGACAATTTACTCAATTGTTTTAAAATATTAGATTGTGTTATATGTTGCATCGCGTGTCATGGCAGCTTTCATCCCACGTGCATCATCTCCATACTCAAATACTCCAGCTGGTGCCAAAGGAAAACCAGTTCCTCCGGATGCGAGGTACTTTACCGTCTTTGCCTCTATAGCATGGGCCGGAGCATTGTGGCTCTTCAGACACCGCGGAGAGTCCGTACAACCTGGCATGTTTAACTCCATGACATACCTCTACAATGATTCGGAGAGATGGACCGATCTTAGGACTTTGCTTTGGCATAACCAATGAGCTTAGTTAACGATTGTTCATGTGAGGGTAGGGCGGATTACTATCGTATAGCAATGTTATTTTTTTTTCATAGATATATATCTTGCTTTTTGGGACCGGTCATCATGCTAAATTCCCAGTTCTAAAGTCCATCCGGTCTCCGCTACTTTAGGTGATACGACCACACCGAAAGCCGAAATTACTCTTCGGTCATAAAAAAAACATCCGACATGTGTTGGAATCTGTTTCAGATTGTAAAAGAAGAAAGAAATGCATGGATTCTTCAAGTACAAATGGTGGTGAGCGCGATATAATCAGATGCAGTCCATCCCCGTGAGGCACGCGTGGAAAAAAGAACATGGCAAGAGCAGGGGGGAGGACCAATAATAACAGCGAAGCAGGAGGGGAGAATGTGAGAGAGGGAAAAGAGGTATCGTGCAGCGAATAGGAGCAATCTAAAGGCAACATCGGTCTACATGACCACGCAACCACTTTTCTTCTTCTTGGCTTTCGGTACCTCGCCACCATTCGCCGTCGCGTTTGTTTGTCGCAGCAGACGCACTAAGTCTGTGAAGAGCCGTTCGACGTTTTGTGCTGTCTTGGCTGATGTTTCCATGAACTGGCATCCAAATTGCCGTGCTAGTGTTGCGCCTTCCTCACGAGAGACTTCTCTCTCGTATGTCTTGTCGCATTTATTGCCGACGAGCATGAAGATTGGGTCTCCACGTTTCACCCTTCGCATCGACTGACGGAAGACTTCCAGACGGTCAAAAGTCGACCGCGAGGCGATAGAATAGACGAGGATGAAACCTTGGCCTTCCCTGCAGACATCGAATCAGAGCTGCTGTGCGGGAAGAAAAATGTTAGGTAAAACAAAGACACATACCGTACCCATTGATCGCGGAGAGTAGCGTACTCCTCTGCGTCGATGATAAGAAGATCAGAAGCTGGATACTACGACGACAGCCAAGAAGAAATACAAACCCTGGCCTGCAGTATCAATGACTTCAACAAAGCACATTTTATTGTCGACAACCATTTGTTTTCGATAAGCATCTTCTATCGTTGGATCATATGTCTGTGTGCAGGAGTCAGAGACTGGGGGACCAAGAGATGACAGAGCACAGCAGGAGTACGGACCTCTGGAGGATAGAGTAAGACAGGCCAGGAAAAACTAGAGAATAGAGGGGAGAGAGAGAAAGAAGAACGTACCAACAAAGCAATTGAGGGTGAACTGGGGACGACGATGAGTTTGGGGGGATTCAGGGAAGGTGAAATGGTGAAAGTGGGCTCACTTGGACTGCGAGGGCAGTTTTGCCAACACCTCCATCCCCCAAGACGGCTATTCGCCACTGGTCCATTTCTGTAAAGAGATTGAAAAGAAGTCCGAAAGAGCCGCGCACGGGTTGACAGACCTCAGAAATGCGAGATGCGAAGGGCGGCGGGGGCAAACGAAAGTAACGTTGGATCGAAGAAGCGAGGGTCAGCAGATGCTGGTAAAGAAATACAGAGGAGGGTCGTGAGAGTCGTCAACGGCGTCGTCAGCGAAGCAGCAGTAAGAAGCCTGCGCTTGGGATTGTGGGAGCGGACAGCAAGCAGCAGCAAGGGTAGAGCACGTGAATGGCTCGCTTCCTTTCCTTTCAGCTGAAACGAATCTGCCACCTGTGTGCCAGAATAATGCGTCTGATTTTTCCCCTGGCTTGTTTCCACTTTCTTCTTAATTGACCTTCCAGAAGCGCCTTTCCGATTTTCAATTGTTTCTTTCGCCCCGTCTTCTTACCCCGTCTACCACCAGCTCGATGACCCATCGCGCTCCCGCCAGGCACACCTGAGTGTTTTCCAATCATTTGTTCCTTATTGCAGGACTGATGTCTCGCTGTCCTTCACCCCTCCCGCTTATCGCGCAAGCGACAGTAAAACGCACATGCATGCAAACTTACTTTGTGCTAACTCTGTTTTGGCAGACTTACCAAACGCCAGGTCCGAAGGTGGCAATTTTTTTTTCTAAGTTCTATAGAAGTACATTTGGGAATATAAATTGCAGAATTTTTGAGGGCCCATATGAAATACACCATATACACCAGTCAGGTACGGTACAGCAGAACGCAAAGAGGGTCCAACAAAGGCTAGTCTAGACGCCGAGGGGAAAAAAGGGCAAAACGACCAACAAAGAAAAACAGTTTTGGGTAGGGTATGCCGGGGATGAGCCTATAGGTCCTGTCTGCCAAATTCAGCCTGAGTGAGGTCGAGAACAAATTGGCCAATTTGGTTTGGTGGAGGCTGAATAAGTTTGACACCGCTATTCGCGATGCCCAGCGACTGGAACGGTCGGAGAGGCTGTGACGCCGGGAAGGAATGTTTTCTCGCTGGGACTGAGCGCTGCTGTCGGTTGCCGGACCCGGCGAGGGGTGACGAGCTCGAAGGAATGGGCGTGGAAAGCGTGGCTAAGCGAACGGAAGCGTTTTAGTTGGCCGACTGCACGTAAGAATTTGTTGCGTCACTTACTCATGATAATTTTCTTTTTGCAGGAGGAAATTGCAGCAATCGGACGATTATGTCTGGGAATGTGCGAAAGGTCTAGATGGAAGTCTGGGTAGAGATGGGCTCATTACCTGGCCGCCTTCACTGAACTTTTGGTTTGGGGTAAGCTCCCACTGGGGCAGACTCCGTGGGGATTATATAAGCAGGATCTAACTCTGCTTCAGTTGTTTAGCAAAGCGTATTTTTGTATAAAAAGTTTATTCAGATTTGAACCACAGTAAAATATATTTACATGAAATAGATCGTTATTTGGCAACAGAAGCCTATATGTCATAGTGAGACAGAAGAAAGAATGCATGCCAAAAGCCTTCAGCATGGGAGGGGGCGGTGCTATGGGATGTGATCGGAGGCATTTCTAAGACAAATCTGCAAGAGAGATTGGATGCAGATGCAGGTTTTAGAACGTAGCCAGTATGTAATTGGAGGGAAAGGTTTGACCATATGCCATGAAGAGCACGGTTTGCGCGGAACTTGGCTGAATTGGGCGCCTATAGTGACCAAGAGACTGGGACAAGGCAGACAGCCGGATGTACCGAATAAGTATGAGTGGGCGGTGGGGGGCCGATGCGATGGATCCAAAACCGAGTGTAAGCAGCAGAAAGACCAGGGTGGACAGGGTCTTGCGCAATGCAGCCTACTGAACATCCACCAGAAGGTTTCTCTCGAGAATATATTTGCCTTCCTTGTACTTCTGAGACTGTTCCCATGCCTTGTCCTGGAATCAAATCAGCTTCGAGAAAGGATGGAAAAGGGGAAAGAGCGAACATATTTCCAACCAAGGATAGTTTGGCACCGGACACAGTAAATATCCCTAACTATGTGATGTCCTGTAGTCATAGGTCGATCCATTGGTTCACCTTCTTCGATGTTGACCCTAAGATTATGGCATGAGGTGGCGTAAACTGGTCATAGCGAGCAAGCACGTACACTTCTTCAAAGAGATAAGCACGTCCATGCTGCCCATTAAAAGCCTATATCATGGTCAAACCTAGAGGTCTGGAAATAGGATTAGAGAATCGTCGCCTACCCGTGAAATCATGGAGTGAATAGTCGCAAGATGGGTTCGGCAGTTAGAGCAACCATATATGCGTTCACCAGTCAAATATCGCCGATATCTCATGCCCATGGTGCTCGAGGTATGGTCTTAAGGAATTGAAATGAAGACAGGAGCAAGTCGTTGAAGCGGATGATGAAGGACGAGACCAAGAACGGGCCGAGTGAGCAAGGCCGCCGCTTCTAAAACCCATGATGTTACCATTCAGGGGCCTTTTGGGGGGATGCAATTTCTTCCAAGAGTTTCTGAAGCCTCTGCGCATGAACAATACTAATCTTTAGACATTTGAAGTGCTACTGACTAACAGTGAGCACGTTAGACTGCTTGAGTACGGCTACTGAGAGTTGCAGTTCAAAGGTTCAAGAGGCTGGATAGGATCACTAGTTCCCGTCATACTCCCTCTGCCAAATGAAAAGCTGTCAAGATTTCAGTCCAAGGTGCTGAAAGTCCTGTTTCCATGTGCTAATGTTGTTTCACTGTGGTTGTGGTTCTGCAATGGTTACGTCACACCGCTCTGCCTTCATGAAACAAATCTTGCAGACTATCATTTTTGACATTTGAAACTATCATAGGATGTTAAGGCATGTTAGCTCACGAATCTTCCTGGTTTCTAAGGTTTTCCGCTTCAGGTTAAATCCATATGTATACTACTGCTTTTGCATCAGAGATCTTGATATGCCCTGGTGGCTCAGCTGGTTAGAGCGCCGGTCTCATAAGTATTAATTATGAATGTTGAAAGCAGCATCAATCCGGAGATCGTCGGTTCGATCCCGTCCCGGGGCAAGTGTTTTACAAAAGGTGAGACAGATAGCTTTTTCTTTTCACCACCAGACAGTTTTCTAATGTCAATTATGGTCGACTTACATGATCGGCAGGTATTTGTGCCGATGTAGAGATGGTCGAGATGGAGGTCATTTGGGGAGCTGAAATGATTGGACGCTTCATTGCTCCCGTGAGAATCGGCCTTGAATCCAACGTCCACGACAAAGCTTCATGAACGCGAGCCTGAAACGATCCGCGGTGGAGCAGCCTTCCTCTTCCTCGCAGATTACCAAAATACCTCGCCTGGACGTGTCCTACACCACTCCCAGACAGCAAATGGAACAAGCAAGACTCGGAGAGAGGTGGAAGTCTGCGTCTTCAACCATCTTACAACTGTTGAAGGACACTGTGAGAACCAGCGTGGATTATTTGCAATGTAAATCATTTTTTTCCACTCTTCACCCTTACTCCTTCACACATATTTGGCATTCTCTAGCTAACCCAACAAGTGAAGAAGCCAGCATGCACGCATTGGACTCTCCAACTGCCTCGTCTTCCAGCCAGCCCAACTATCTCTCACAGCGCACATCTTCTCGCTCCGTCTCAGCCGCATCTATGGACGCAGAAGACTCACCTCCCACGTCCATAGCTCCGTCATTTACTTTTTCCACCACGAATCGCAGCTTTAGCAATTCTACTGCTGGGACGACAATGGGGAACACGGCTTCTGTGGACGAGAAGTTATCTCAAGCATTAGCACGACTTTCCGAGACAAAGCCTTCCACTCGACTACCTCATAAGGAACACATCTATCATCGACGAGTAAGGTCACTAGCCTTTTTTAAAGGTAACGGCTCACCGTTCCATAGTACCGGCAAGGCATCGAAGACCTAAGGCAGGAAGAACAACGTAGCCTCCGCCTTCTGCACAAAGGAGTCCAGACATTAGGTATGGTCTTTGATCTGTTGTCGCTTTACACCATTGAAATGACCCGCCCAACTAGGCTACTCTTCCTCATCAGATGCTTTAGCCCGTAAGCGTTTGCATTTCTGGTTTTCATTCTATGCTCAATAAAAATAGACTTTTTGATCTATAAAGACAGAGTCCGACAGCTAGAAGCAAAAGAACTTCGAAGTGCGGCCTATCCATCCATCTCCATGCTCGTTAATAACCGAATGCTCCAGGGTCTCCCTCGGCGCCTGACTTGTCTGCTCGATATGGCAATTATCATCATCCTAGACGCCATTCAGATGATGGCTTCCGTCGAGACTTGACGCGTGTTTTGAGAAGTCTGAATACGTATGCTCTTCATCATCCGCCCTTCCCTGCAATGTAATCATGGCACTTCAGGTCGCAACCCAGCAAGGTTTGGTCACCAACTTCCTCCCAGCTTGACCTTCTCAACCGGACGAGAGACGAAGCCGTCGAAGCTCGATTAAGACCCAAGCGCCCACCTCTTCCCTCTCATCTCCCTCCTGACGACGAGAAGCAGGTCACTGCATTATTCCAGAGGCGTGGTGTTATTTCAAAATTTGCGCGAGAGTCCGTGTCGCATGACGATCTTGCGAGGCTCAAACCTGGCACTTGGATAAACGATGAGTTAATCAACTTTTATGGAGCCATGATTATGAGTGCAGGAACCAGCACTGGAAACGAGAACGTACAACCCAACTCACCGCGTCCCCTTAATGTTCACTATTTCAGCACATTCTTTTGGCCTAAATTGACAAAGGATGGATACGATAAGGGTCGCCTCGCTAAGTGGACGAAAAAGGTCCGTTTCTCTCGATGTCTTAGGGATCTGTTTTGACCAATGGTCAAGATCGATCTATTCTCAAAAGATGCTGTTCTTATTGCTGTAAATCACAGCAATACGCATTGGTCGAGCGCTGCGATTAATTTTAGACTAAAACGGATCGAAGCATACGACAGCCTGGGGGGGACCACCTTCTGACAAGTTCAAGGTTTGTTCAACACACCTGTTTCCTCTCGACGCAATAGAACTCAGATCCCAACAGTTCCTTCGACGCTACCTTGACTCTGAGTCGCGGGACAAGAAGAAGAAACCATTTGACTTTACTGACTGGGAAGACTTTGTCCATCCTGTAAGGAATTTTTTGTAAAGTTCAAGCTGGAACTCAAGCATCTTAGGATACGCCACAACAAGAGAACCACTTTGATTGTGGTGTCTTTACCCTTCAAACTCTCCTCGCGGTCTCACGGGGGGACGAGACCTTCAACTTCAGCCAGAAGGATATGCCATACATTCGGCGGCGCATGGTTTGGGAAATTGGTAATGGTCGCCTCTGGGACCTACCATAGTGATGATTATTTTGCACCGATGTAATATACTAGCTCCGAATACCCTAATGACTGACTTGGGAGGAACCAGGATTGGCTCACCGTCGAAACCACCAGACAATGAGGAAGAACCAGAAGACAATGACCAGAAATACGATGTACCATAGCCAGCGGCACCCTTGCCGTTGAGCCATGTTGTTCATACGTCGAAATGTTCCGCTGAGAATGTCGCCTGTTTCAGAGAAAGCGTCGTTCTAAGAAAGTACAAAGTTAGACGGAGTAAGGAGCAGTTATAATCCATTGTGCTAACCATTTGGCTGAGTTGCACTGTCGAATCCCGAATTTCATTTCCAATCCCACTGGTAATCTAACGAGGCTGTTCATTAATGCATGCAAGCTGCAAAAGGAACCACCACGCACGTCTTTCAGTAACTTTACTTTCGCACTCAAACCTTCCAAAGCTTCGTCATTTTGCCCTTCAAGGTCGTCTGCGAAACGGTGGCCGTTGGGCTCGGAGGAAGCGTCAGAATAATATGGAGATGACCGGCCAGAAGGGGGATTGGAGGTAGGGAGGAGGGATGCCCGATTGTGAAGAGAACCGCCTGTTTGTCGCACACTAGTCAGAGTGTTTTCAATGTCTAAGGCATTGCTTAGCCGAGCTGAGAAGAACCGACCGGTGGGACATGAAAGTGGGAAGAGCGAAGGGATGGTCACACATCAATTCAACGTGTTCCATTATTCTAGGAAGGCGCAACTAAGGTGACACGTTCATTGCACACCGAAATAATATACATCGTACACTAGCTACCACAGATATAGACTGCAAAACCTACTACGCATGTGGAAATACGATAAAGTATGTTGTCCAGCAAGCCCGCTGGCTGATTACTGCTCACTCTTCTACATTTCTCAAGCCCTCCATAGCATGTTAGGAAAACAAAGGCACACTTGCTCAGTCAATGCTCATCCTATTGAGATGCGTGCTTGCGTGTCTACGATGAGGCGCTTGTGAGGGATCACGCCTGTGTTCTTGAGCATCTTTCCGAGCCACTAATGCAAGTGAGTATTTACGCATAAACCGGTGAATAGCACATACAAGCATCCTTCAGTCCATATCCAAAGTTTTTGAGGACTAAGATAGATAAAACGAATGTTGCAACAAGTAGAAGGATGGCAAGAATAGCTAAAAAGAAAGTCACTATGTCAAACATGATGCAAGAAACACTGGAAACCTCACAGAAAACAGTCAGAGATTTCCAAATGAACTTGAACAAGTCCGTTTTTATATCTATCAGTACCCTCGCCAACTGTGATGGAGTGAGTGGGCGTGGCAGCAATCGCAGAAGTTGTTGAAGCAAACAAACCTTATAAATGAAGTATACCATGGCAGCCACACACCCTGACATGAATACGGCCATCATCCACTTATTCTCATGTCGAGCAGCAAGATGGCCTTCGACCAGGAGGATGATGGAAAGCGGGAGAGCAGCGCATGTGACATAATATTCCCAGTCGTCTTTTTTCAAGACCAACCAAATAAATTGGACAGAAAAGGCGGCCCAGAAGAAGACATCAAACTTGACCAGACACAAAAAGATCTGGTAGTTGGCATACATCTTCTTAACTCGTCGGTCGGCACCCAAAAACTTGTACACCTTCCAGCCGAACTCGTTGTAAATCTTCCAGCCTAAGGCAATATAGGCAATTTCTGCAATTGAGATGACGATGGGGATAATGGTCGTCAGTGCTGTGATAGGTATTTTGCTAATGCCCGGAGTCCCCGGAGTCATTCAACAGGGTTGTATCGTCTCGAATTTCCGTGATTTGGATGATGGAGTACAACAAGAATGCGGCATTGAAGATGCTAGGCTCAGAGTCAAAACAGTGAGGTACGAGCAGGAAGGGGAGCCACATACATGAGGGCCATGAATTGCAGTGTGTTTCGAGCGTACACGGCGTCCACTGCCATGACAAACTGGAACACACTACAAGCTCGTGAGGCCAGGTGTTCGTGGCAAGTTCGAGGACAGGCTTACTGGGCAAGGGCAAATAGGGCAAGATATACAGGCATTTTACGCTGGGCACTGGTCAGATTCTCAAATTCGGTGTCAGTAGACCCATTGAGACGGATGAGCAAGTCGCCTTCAATCGCCAGGTCGATTGCGGTCTCGACAAGAACGACCAGTACGAAAAGTTTACAGGCCAATGAATCTGGTACTATCTAGTTCGAAAAAAAAAGTCAGAAAAGGGGATAGGATCGCAATAGACGACTCACTCGTGTCCAGAGATTCGGCGGTGGCTGTTCGATCCCCTTGGAAGACAAGGGCGGATAAATGGGATTTAAATCTTCATGTGAAGTATCTTCTGACATTTTCACAGGTCGATTTGGGAGTGAGTGGAAAGGATGGGCCTCTTCTAGTGAGAGGGAGAAAGGTTGGCCTGGACAGAATATGTCTGGTGGCGAGGTGCCGAAAAGTCATCGACTAGTTCATCATAGTGAGCCTTTTGCTCGTATGGCGGACGCTGGAAGTTGGGGTAGCTGTCCATGGCTGTCGGTTGGAGGGGTCTGTCAGCAGCGCGGCTGTGACTCAGGGCTGGTTGTGGTGGTGGTTGGAGTCGAAGCTCGGGTCACAGGTCACAGGTAACAGAACGACTTGGCCTTTTTGGGGTCCTGATGTTAGTGGGGTCCACTCGTATCTACGACAACTAAGGCCAAGCAC